AAATGATAAAATAGCTTTATAATTTAAACTTCTAGGAAAAGTGCATTTTGCCAAAACAAACAAACAAACAAACAAACAAACAAAAAAATGGAGAGAGTTTCTACAATGGAAATTTCTTCTGATGATCAAACCCTAGATTTGTAAAGCGTTGATTTATTTACATGTCAGGGCTGTCTCTAGCACAGATGGATTAAGCAGTAGCCTGCATTGTTGATTTTAGGAAGCTCAGAAATATTTCTTAACAAAAATGTTCATTGCTGAAATTAATCACTAGCTTTTCATTCCTTTTATTAATTACTATTCTCTCTGTCTTTTAAAAGTACTACTGAAAAGATAGTATACGCATCTGGTTGTTACCAAGTTAGTATAGACTCTACTATTTTTATTGTTGAAACAGCTTTGTTGAGATGTAATTCAAATATTAAAGCATTTACTCTTTAAAGTGTGCAGTTTAGTTGTTTTTAGTGCAAATGTGCAACCATCAATCACCATTATTTAATTTTAAAACATTTTATTACCCCAAAAAGAAGCTCTATACCATACCCATTGGCAGTCACTCTCCATTTTTCCTTCCTTCTAGCCCCTGTCAAACACTAACCTACTATCTATCTCTATGGGATTTTCTTATTCTAAACATTTTCTACAAATAGAATCACAATATATGGCTTTTTGGACTGACTTTTTAAAATTAATGTGTTCTCCGGTTTTATCCTTCCTGTAGCATGTATCAGTACTGTCTTCTCCTTGCCAAATACTATCCCGTGGAATGGATACAGTACATCTTGTTTGGCCACTCATCTGTTGACGGTCATTTGTGTTTCCACTTTTTGGCTAAATAATGAATAATGCTGTTGTGAACATTCATTACAAATGTTTGTGTGGACACATGTTTTTAATACTGCTGGATATGTATCTAGCTGGGTAATATGAGGTTTACATTTTGAGGAACTGTAAGACTGTTTTTCAAAGAAGCTGTACCATTTTACATTTCCAGCAACAATGTATGAAGGTTCCAATTTGCCCACATTCTCACCAGCACTTCTCATTGTCCCTTTTTCTGTTTTAGCCACACAAGTGAGTGTGAAATTGCATCGTATTGTGGTTTTAATTTGCATTTCCCTAATGACTAATGATGTTGAACATCTTTTCATATGCTATTGGCCATTTGCATATCTTTTTGGAGAAATGTCTATTCAGATCTGTTGCCCACTTTTTAATTAGACTGTTTGTCTTCTTTTTATTGAGTTGTAAGATTTCTTTGTATGTTACAGATTATGGATATGATGACAAGTCCCTTGCCAGATAGATATAATTTGCAAACATTATCTCCATTGTGTTGTCTTTGCACTTATTTGATTGTGTCCTTTGAACACAAAAGTTTTTAGTTTTGATGAAGTGCAGCTTATTTTTTTTATTTGACTGTTTGTGCTTTTGATGTCACATCTGAAAAAACCATTGCCTAATTTAGGTCATGAAGATTTGTTTTCTTTCAAGATTTTCTTTTAACTTTTATCTCTTAAATTAGGTCTGTGATTCATTGTGAGTTAATTTTTGTTCATGGTCTGAGGTAGGAATCCAGCTTTATTCTCTTGCATGTGGATATCCAGTTGTCCAAGAATCATTTGTTAAAAAGACCATTCTTTCCTCCCGTGAATAGTGTTGCGACCCTTGTTGAAAATCAGCAGTCATAAATATAAGGTTCTATTTCTGGGTTCTTAATTTTATTTTATTGATCCATATGTGTAGCCTTATGCCAGTATCCCTCCATCTTAATTATTCTAGCTTTGTAATAGGTTTTGAAGTAGGGATGTGTGAATCATCTATATTTGTTCTTTCTTTTCAAGATTGTTTTAGCTATTCTGTTTCCTTTGACTTTCCATATAAATTTTAGAAGAATATTGTCAATTTCTGCAAGTAAGCTAGCATCAGTTTAGGGAATATTGCTATGTACACAGTGTTAAGACTTGTATCTTACAGCCCTGCTGAACTTGTTTCTTACTTCTAATAATTTTATAGTAAATTCCTTAGAATTTTCTACATACAAGATTATGTCATGTGCAAATAGAGAATTCTATATCTGGCAATATTATTCTCAAAAATGAAGAAGAAATTAAGACATTCTAAGATAAATAAAAACTGAGCAAATTTATCACCAACAAACTAGCTAGTAAATTTAGGCAAGATAATGAAATAAATTACCTTAAATTCCTTGAATTCCTCGTTCTCCCAGCCTACATACAAGGGTCCCTACATGCTTGCTGGGGCATACCTTCAATGCCGAGGAAGTCTGTAACACTGTCTTTCTTCTCAGTTTCTGTTAGTGCAGTCTCAAGGCCAGCCAGAAGTGAATAATAATGTGCTCCTCAGGTATTTTCTGGGCATACATACAATCCTGCACATGTGTGGCCTTCCTGATTCCCTGGAGTATGTCAGAGGTTTTTGAAGCCCCTTATATACACCATATTTCACAGATTTTTTTCTAAGTTTTTGGCTACCTTCTTGTTTATGTCAATGGTATTGCAGCTTGGCCAACTGTGATGTTAAACACTTGCCACTGATTTTTTTCAGCAAACATCCCTAGGACAGGGCTGCTCAAGCTGAGTGAACTCTGAATCAAATCTAACAAAGACAAGTACTGTGAGTGGAGCTTTTCCAGAGAGCTCCCAGATGAGTCAGAGAGTGGTAGCTCTTTGAGGATGGGGCATTTTGAGGAGCTCCAAATCCATTCTACCCCCTTTAGTGGTTGCAAGGCTGCTAGATTTCACAGCTCCAGTGTTTCAAGGCTATTGTTTTTCAAGGCTACCATGGAGCTAGGGAGAGTTGCTGGGAATGTTCAAGTTAAAATACCACAAAGCTCACAGTTCCTACTGAGTTTAGCATTTTGTCTTACATAAACACTTCTTGGATTGGTGTGAGCCTTTGGACAATTTCCAGAGTTCTGAAAAGGTTGATTTTGACAATTTTTGCCACTGATATTATTGTTCTTGTGGAGTAATGGATTTCAAAGATTGTGATTTCTCTTTCTTTATTTATAACTAGTATTTTTCCTTGGGACAGATGATACCAGAAGCACATGAAAAGGCTTAGTGTCCAATGAAGAGTGGTTACAAGATTTGAGTTGGAATGGAGGCTCTACAGAAGGGACTGAAAACAAATTTTCCTGATTATATTTCCTTATTTAATGTTTAATTGTAGCAATGTAATAAATAAATGGCCATGGGAGTATATACAGGCCAAGCCTTATCCTTTTTATTTTACAGTGTTCTATGAAGCTATGCCATCTGTTTTTCCATCCCACAGCAGATGGGGGTAGGGAGACCACGTATTAGAGACAGGCATACTAGGACAACTGGCAGTGAGAAAGAGGATTTTAGCATAAAAAAGTAGACATAACAATCAGCAGGCGCCAACGTAGTGTACTACCATACTCACTTTTCATAGGCTATATCTATATCAAAATGAACGTGTTAATTTGTTCTCTGTATTCTTTGTTTTTAAAGACAGATAAAGCCTAGTATATTTTGCATTATTTTTTTCTATCAAGAATCAATAAAATGTTTAAGGTTAGATATTTAAAATTTTAGGCTTCATTTACCTAGAGCACTTATGGCCAAGAAATATCATATGTCCAAACCATATTGCTAATGGGACATCAGTATTTCATTGGTAACACATTCTGTTGTGGAAGAAGGTTCTGTAATTATACACCTAAATTCGTCATAGTTCCAACATCTTAAAAGTTGGGAATTTCAACAATTTCTTGTCTCCAGGTAAAGACACATGAAGAAAAATGATTAACCTCCTCAAAAGTTGAACATTGAATCACATAGTCACAATACTTTCTTGCGCATTCCCTGTACTAAGTCTTTTGAATTTGTCAGCACTGATAACACTTTCTACCTACACAGCAAAAGATGCATTGACTTGCTGCTGAATATAGTATTGTTAGTATAATAGTTGCACAAGTTGCTCAGGACTTAAGTGACCACTTCAGAATACCCTCCAGTCAAAACTGTGTTTTAGGAGGCCCTTATAATGATAGATCACTCAACACAGGCATGGAAGTATATGAAATATGGAACTGTAGATAGGACATTGACTGAAGTAGTAGAGCAGTATTTCTAATGCCAGCAGTAAGGGGTGAACTCAGAAGAGCCATCCGTCAAAAAATCTACCCACAACATGGGTACCAATAGCTGATTGACATAGCTGGTCATAGCTGGTTTGATGAAAACATCTTGGAGATAAGGGAGCCACTTGTAACAAAAAAACAAACATAAAGCTACAGAAGTTTACTGTTCCATGTAGCATAGATAAAAGACTCAGTTTTGAAAGTCTACTTCATTCCATGCTTATATTTTTACAAGCTTATATTCAAAAGCTGAGAAGATCCAGCCTTTGGGTTCTTAAGACCACCATCAAATCAAGGGCTCCTCTGCAGGACTGAAGAATATATATGGACTAGCATCTTCTGCCAAAAAGTCATTCTAAGAAAAGACAGGAGGGGAAATCCTAGAGGATTTCAGTTGGTGCTTAGTATTAAGTAGGGAATTACATTACAGGATACATGGTGGCAAACAGAGTGTGTTCCTCCTGTTCTAGGAAGTGACCACCATTGTGGGTATTTACCATGTGAAGTACCAGGTGTCAGGTTGACAGTTTGCCAAATTACAGGTGTTTCCCCAGGACATTTTTTCAATATATTCTTTGATTCGAGTCAAGTGTATACTAAAAGACAAGGAATGTATTTAAGATGACTGAACGCCATTTGAGTTATACATCCTTTCTTAGGGAACAGGATTGATGTGCTGCTGTTCCTAGATAAAAATGTAAATTATAGCTAGAAACTCACATATATAAATTTTTAATAGATACTTCTATAAAGTTTTTGTATAGTGTTTAATAAAATTAAACACTGTAAGATTATTAGGATACAAGACATTTAATTCATACGCAGTTAGCCACGTTGATACTAAAAGTGTGTCATTTCTTTATTGCAGTTTCCTGGCAGGTTACAATGGTACCATCTTTGCATATGGGCAAACGGGTAGCGGGAAGACGTTCACTATCACAGGGGGTGCAGAGCGTTACAGTGACCGAGGCATTATCCCAAGGACACTGTCATACATTTTTGAACAGTTACAAAAGGTATGAAACTTTTTGTTCATATCATTTTGTATTTGATATATTCAGCAAAAATTTACTGAAAGCAGGAAATGTACTATGACATTTTATTTTATTGTGTCTAAATGATAAAGTATTATTGTATCTTAACTCTGGCCTTTACCTTTAAGGAAAGGTTGGGATTTTGCTGGAGAAGTGAAAATGAAGAAGGTGCTTCTCTTTAAAGGACTGCTATTTCAGCAAAGGCTCAAGGAGAGCTCCTTCAACGAAGTTTGAAAGAGCAGACAACACCTTTTACCAACTCATGTCTTACATTCCTCAAGAAACTGAGGAACGCCTTCTTATCAAAGCAGACCTTCCTTTGAGCTGCTAAAACACTAAATAGGATAGTATGATTGTTGCCATTTTACACTTGATAGAAGCCCAGAGGAATTTACCAGAGTGCAAATACCATTGTAATTATTATTATTGTATAAAAGGGATCTCTATCTATATTATATGTATCTTTTATTGAGTGCCTCAAAATGCCAGTAGCTTTATCAGTTTTACCAGTATTTGATAGAACATATGATGAAACTTACCATTTTATAGCTGGGAAAACTGAGCCTCAGGTTAAATATTTTCCTCTGGGTCCACATCCTGTAAGTAGCTGATCTGGAGTTCAGCCCAAGTCCACCTGATGCATGACTGTGCTTTGTTCCATTACATGTATTGTCACTGTACCTCGGACAGGCTTTTTTTGGTGGTTGTGCTCAAACAAATTCCCTATAATGAGTTACATACTTTCTCTGAGTTTCAGTTTTCCCTTCTGTGAAAGCAGAGACTGAATTGTACTAGAGAATCTCCAGTGTCCCCACTAGTTCCAGCAATTCCTTGATTGTTTTACTTCTGTATAATAAATGTATTAACTAGGTCAACATAACAGTCACTCCAGAATTTCTTGACTATATATTGTTGGCATTTTCAGTTGCAAAGATGAGAAAAAATTGCTGAGAACTGCATAATTCTAATTGCCATCCATAAAGTAGCAATTATCCATTAGTTCAGCTCATCTTTCTCTGGCTCAAACATGCCAGCTTTGCATGCCAGAAAATTTGGATGAGAAAAGATTGAGTGTAGCATGTATGTTGGATCCAAGGCCCCTTTTTCATTTACTCGCTTATTTCTGACATTGCCTGTTTTGTTTCCACATTTCACAAACTGGGAATATAATTCCTAATAGTTGTCATTGCTGTGGCCTAACGTGGAAGCCGTTTGTCTTAGAAAGATCATTGGAATTGGTGCAGGTCAATCTGGTTCTGAGAAAGTGTACTGCTTACAGCCTGTGGCGTTGGGGCGGTTACTTAATGCCTCAGTCTTACGGAGTTGCTCTGAGGGGCTGAACATACCGTGTTTAAAGACGTTGTCCAGTTCCTTGCACACAGTATATGTTCAATATATGGTAGTTATTATCACAGCCAGTAATACCCATATATGGATATTAATGTGGCCAGGTGATCCCTGACCAATTTCAGAGAACGCTTGAAACTCTTGAAACAAATGAAGCCAATTCCCCTGATTAAGTTAAATAGAATAAACTCATCCTCTCCCAAAGGAAAATATGTTTTGTCCCTTTAAAAATTTGATTTATGGTTACTAAAGTACAGATCTAAATTTCTAAATATCTTCTTAGTACTTACCATTTTTCAGGTTGACTGTTTTAGATCTGTCTGTCACTGACATTACTATAACTCCATTTCATTCTGAATGATCCTAAATAACTTCCCGGACTTGTAGAGAGCCCACTGGACCAATTTAAAGCCAGGGTAACTCTTTGCAAATGAACATATTTTCATGATGGGGTACAGTACATTCATTATAATCAAACACCTGAAGTGAAACTGGCCAGGTAACTTGAAGTGCATCATGGAGTTTGTTCATATTGTGTAGCTGAAAAATGCAGGCTGGTACTCAGAGGTCCCAGCGGATTGCCTTAGAGAGGTACATGGAGCTCTCTTAAAGGAAACATTTGACCTATGCAAAGTCTTCATTTCAAGATAAAGTAAGAGCCCAGTGCATACTGGGTCCTGAAATGCCTATGAGTATGATAGGAGCACATTTTCACTGATTTTAAGGGAAGAAAATTGATGCCATTTATTTTAGAAATCACTGCTCATTATTTTTGAGTATTGAGAGGTTCAAACTTGTTTTGGGGCAGAAGAAAAGGCTGTCTGCAGGAAACATGTGTGTTACATTACAGTCTGGCATTCCTAAACATGAAAAAGGAGTAATAAGGAAAGGTAGCTTGCCACATAGCTCAGCGAATTTTAAGTGTATTTTCCAATAAAAATCCAGAAAATGCAGAAGCTGGAGGAGCCAAAGGCATTATCCCTATCTTCTTGGGGCAGTGGACCTGCCATTTTCCTGATATTTTATGATTTATTCTAATTTCTGGAAGAAGAGATTTTTCTCCACTGCAGACAAACATACAAGCTGTCTGTCCTTTTTGCTTTCATTTTCCTTTCCTTTTATATTCATATACCGAATTCTCCATTAGAAGGCTCCCAGAAATAATAACAATAACTCCAACAATGATAATAGCAACAGCAGCAACAATGATTCATTGGTATCTGTTATGGGCCACACAGTTTTGTAAGATTTTAAATATAGAATCTTATTCCTCTATTACAACAGAATGCAAGATCAGGGTTATTGTGCCCATTTTTATGGTGAAACAACTGAGGGTAAGAGTGTGGGATTATTCTGTTATAAATGGAGATCCAATATTTAAACCCAGTTTTTATCTGATGGTAAGAATAACTAGAAGTGTATACTAAAATCTCAAACCATAATAATCTCTGGGATATTTCAGATATTTTGGATACATTTTAAAACTATGTTGGTTTAGACAGGATCTCAGCATGTTGCTGAAATATCCCCTGGGGCCTTTAACATGCTCCAGAGAGGGACAGAGTTTATGTATATGTTGACCATGGAACACTGTTTTCCTGGAATATTCCATGGAATATTTTAGAAACACTGGATTACATGAACAGCCACGCAAAGCCTGTTTAGTGTTTATCGTCTCTGATACCTATGCTAAGCCAAGTTATAACCCAAAGAATTATATTGAAATAGTACCGTTACTAAACCAGGATACTAATGTGATCAATAGGCCATTTGTTGGGATAACCATTAGAGTCACCCACATCAGAAGAATTTTCAGCATTAAGCTGAAAAAAATTTTCTTGGTAATTCAGTCCATGTTGTCACTTTCACAAAACACCAAAATATAGAATTTCAGCTGTAGCTTTAGTGTTTTTGTTATAGTCATGGAAGGCTAAGAGTTGCTTTAATTGTTATGTATCATTTTGTCTTTCTGAAATGACAGTATCTTTATTTGGATAATTGGAGCCATTTTAGAACCAAATAATCATTCATTTTACACTGAAGAACACATAGGGATTTATTAGCCAACTTCCTCACCTTAATGTGTTTGAAAACTAAGGCCTGACTTGGTAGAGGCTCACCTCTAGTTAGAGTAGGAGTCCAGCTTTTTATTTATAGGCCACTATTCTTTCTGCTATCTCTGTGACTTGGTCCTTGCTCCCTTTAAACAACATCTATTAAATGGATTGCCTTGGATGTGGATGAGAATCGATCAGGAAGGTCATCTTAAGCAAATTCTCTGTTAGTATACACTCTGACACCCTGACAACCTGCTGGCCACAAGACACAAATATACTCTCCCCTTATGAGAAGCATGATAAAATTTGCAGAAATGGAAGCATTAGTGTTTTTGGAGGAACAAGAAGAAGGTGCTACTGCTTGATATTTTGTATTGAAAACTAAACTTTCTCAAGATTTGAAAATTCCCTACTTTATTCCACCTCAAAGGGAAAGGGTCATTTTTGTCTATTGGCAGAACTGAGATTAGGACCAGGCACCTTGACTTTTAGCCTCTTTACATTGATGCCTATGTCATTGCATTTCAGCAATGACCCAGCAAAAACATTTCTCTCTTAACTAATTGCTAAATATCCCTGATTTGCCCTCTTGGCCCAAGAAAATTAACTCCATAGGTGAGGTATCAGCAGTGAACTCTTAATGTCCACTCCTACCTGACTAATCAGCTATTTTCTGTCCTCTGGAACTCACGTTCATTGTTGTCTATTTATATCATCAGAAAATATTGAATATTAGCAAAGTAGAAAAAGAATTATGATTAAAGGTGGAAACTATTTTGCTTCTGAAATTTTTAAACCAAAGTAATGATCTGTGTTCTATTTTATGAATAGACTATTCACAGAATGTAAGTTTATTTTTTTAGTAACCTTTTTTTTTTGGTCTGGAAAGTAAAAAATGGTGTGTTATACAGTTCTGCAACCAAGTTGGCTCATTCTAAGTGTATATTGACTTTTTATGTATAATGTGGAACCAATAAAAAATAACAGACTGAAGTTGCTTGTAATCATGGGTGTTGGCCATTAAAAAAGTTTCATGCATATGGTAACTGGCAACTTGAAAGTGTCATGAACTGAAAATGTAAACCATATAAAGTGAGAGAAAAAGAGAGAAACTGTGAGGAAACTGAGTGCTAAATGTGTTCATCTTCATCTAAGCAGAATCATTATTTATAACTAATAAATAATACCTTTCCCCTTCCCAATCAGGACAGCAGCAAAATATATACAACGCACATTTCCTATTTGGAAATCTACAATGAATGTGGTCATGATCTTTTGGATCCAAGACATGAAGCCTCCAGTTTGGAAGATTTGCCGTGAGTAGCAGAACAACAAAGAATGGAGGGAAATTACTTTCAGATGTTCTCTTCAATTGTTTTCTTTGAAACTTTGTATGTTTCTGGTCTCAATCATAATTAGCAAATACTGGATAACTGAATCTTTTTGTAATATAATGGATTTTTTTTCAGTTATGACAAATGGACAGTAGTGATGGGAACTAAAATTGCCCGAACTCATTTCTTAGGAAAATCTCTTTTGGAATTGGCAGAAGAGAGTGCAATGAATTTTCTCTAAGACTGGGTGCTAAGAGGATTGATGGGATATGACAGTACTACTTTCTTTCTGCCACATGAAACCCTGTTACTCCTCTAACTGTGGCCATTTTCTTAGAAGAAGGTATTCAAATTAGAGTTCAAGCAGCAATAAGAGAATCTGAAACAGAGAAAATAACATTTTTAAGTTTTCCTCAAATGCTTCTCTACTACGGTTAATGCTAACTTTGGCAATCATTTGATCAGATTGGCACTGATTGTTTCATGACTGAAATTTAAATAGCTTCAAAGTTTATCTAATAATGGAGCCAGTTACCCTGCCAGCATTTATATAACATTGCTCAATGCTTGTTTGAATATCTGCCTATATTAGACATATATTAATTGGTAACAGTTCATATACTTTTTTTCAGACATCTTCATATATCAGAAGTAGCCTATAACTAAGAAAATGTATTTTTATCTTCTTATTAAATACTCTAATTTAGAGGTACATATTAATTCTCTACCAAAAAGATTAACAATCAGTTGATTATTTTAATTTTAAAGAAATTAAGAAGAAATAATAAAGAAAATAAGTTACACTGTTTACACTACCTTTATATGTATACTTCCTTTAATGTTGGTTGAGAATTTTTGCATATCATCTTCTTTATGTTTAAAATATTTATGAGAGGGACTTAGGAAAGGGACTGTTATTTATACTGTAAATATTTGTATAAGAATTAAGAGAAAGGAAAGATTACTGAATCCATACAAGAAAATGGGCTTAATAAAACCATTAGCATTAAGTTTACAAAGAAAAGTAAAACTCTTTACATAGGACAGGAAAAACATTAAAGATGTGAAGGTGTATTTGGAAAGGCAGTATGTTGAGGAGTGCTGTGGTCTGAATGTTTGTTACCCTTGCCACCCCAAAACTCATATGTTGAAACCTAGTCAGCATGGTGATGGTATTAGGAAGTGGGGCCTTTGGGGAGGTGATTAGGTTAAGAGGGTAGAGCCCTTATGAATAGAATTAGTTCACTTGTAAAATATGCACTCGAGACTTGGTTCATTCCTTCTACTATATTGAGAACACCAGTGAGAAGTCAAAAGTCTATAACCTGGAAGAGGACCCTCACCAGAACCTGACCATACTGGCACCCTGATCTCATATTTGCCAGCCTTCAGAACAGTGAGAAACAAATTTCTGTTGTTTATAAAGCCACCCAGTTTATGGTGTTTTCTTATAGCCTGAATGGACGAGGACAAAGAGTTGTTGGAAATAAAAGCAGAAAGGCCAACTGAAGCCAGTTTTTGGAGAGACTTGAATGACAGTCTTTTAGTGTGAGTTTGAGCTTTATTCTAAAAAGTGTGCCTCTAGTCTAACCAGTATACCTCCAGGCTAAATCTTGCTTCAAATTGCTTTCAGCAAGTAACATGTACACCTAAGAGTTTAAAAGCTGTTAACAATAATCCAGGAATTAAGAGCTTGGATATGATGAACATAGAGGAGGAGAGAGGAATTCAAGAAATGTGCAAAGAAGTGAAATAAAATAACTTGATTATATCCAGCACCTTGGATTTGATTGAATTTGAAAAGAAATGAATCATAGAAGGTTGGTGTTCTCTTTGTTTTACTGATTGAGGAGATTAAGCCCAGACAGGTATGACTTGGCCAGTGTTTCAAAACTAATTGGTTACTGTTAGAACAAAGATTAAAAACCAGATACTCCCACTTTCATGCCAGAGTAGCAAAAAGAGCTTCAAAATTTTTATACTGGGGCATAGAGAATTAAGGCATCATTGACTTAAAAAGGAGATTTCCATTAGAAAGTTTGATTGAGTGATGATAATAAATTTTACATAGATAAGTTTGCTGTCTAAGGATATTGTTCTAGATGTTTATATTTACAATAAATTCCTCAGAAGTAGGGAGTATGCCTTACTTGGTTTAGTAGTCTTTCTGCTGCCTAAGCCAGAATAAGTCCTTAGTAATTTGTAAAAATTATTTGCTGAATTGAAACTGTGAAGTAGACGTTTTGAAATGAGAGTGTACAGAGAGAAGAACAGAGCATGAGCTCTTTTCATCTGAATCTAATCGACGTGGTTTGGTACAGCCTAACTATGGGAAGAGCTAGAAATGAGGAATGTCCATTGAACTCTAAGAGAGGTAACATAATATGTAGAATAAAAAGTACTTGATTAGAAGTCAGGAAATTGGGGTTCCAGTCCCAGTCTTAGGTAAATCATTTCATTTTTCTGGATTTCTCTGTTTGTAAAATGTGGGCATTGGATTAAGTAGTATTTAACAGTCTTTCAACCTCCAATGTCAAAGAGTTAAAAAGATTGGTGACCTTCACAGGAGAAGACTTATCTTTTGAGTTTTCTATCCTTCACAAAAGAAGAAGTGATTTCAATATTTTCAGATGTGCTCCTTTTAGAAAAGAGCAAGCCTCTTGAGAGCAAGTGCAATGCCTTAGTCCACCCTGTGTCCTCTACATTTCTCAGCATGGTTGGCATTCAGCAGTCATTCTCAATACTGGTCAGATTGTCTCCAGAGATGGTGCTAATTTTCACCTTCAGCAACTGTTCTTCCTTTAGTAGCTTTGTCTTCTTGTTGGAGAGTTCACTGACTCAAGTTAGAAGTGACCTCATTTATAAAACAGTTGTTTTCAAGAAACTACCACATGCATATACAAAAGTGGTTTGAAACTGTTCTTATTCTCACATTTTGGACTGTAATTACATGACAACAAATCCCATTAAAATAAAAATGTGATTAAGAAAGAAGAATCGCATATCCAAGTCAATAGCCTATTACTTCAAACATATTCACTACTATAAAATTTCAGAACAATTCAAGAATTGGATAGTCCTTTGGTGTGGAGATAATGAGGTCTGACTGGTATTGAATCTGCTAGTTTTCTGGGGGCTTTAGAAGAGTTTACCTTTTACTAAGATAATAAAATAATTATTTATAATGAAATGTTATTTTTTTGCTCTACTTGGATTAGATTAAGCATATGTGCTATTAATTTGGTTTCACACACTCTTTACCTGGGACATACTATAACTCTGAAATTCTAGCTGTCTGGTTGACTGGTTTCATTGTTGTGAGCTGAACTGTCTCAAACACTTTGAATGACTTCTAAAAATAGGAGGCAAATGTCTGTTGACTTTGGTCCCCAAACTCATAGCCATCCATTGAGGGACAATGGCAATATTCCCATTTTATCTCTTTTGCATTCTTATACTAGACTTAACTATATAAAATTAAACTCAGGATCACGTTGATACTGCACACTAATAACCATCAGTTACAGCTTCCTTACCATGGAGTGACACAGCTTCTCCAAATATCACCTGGAAGATGCTCTTGTCACATACACTCTGCTTTTTCTATTTTTTTTTTTTAACATTTTAAGATGTACCGCTTGTCTGCTTTTGCAGAACTTTTGCCTATAAACTGTCTGTGAATATTGTATGTATTATATTGGGGCACTAGACTAAAGGCATTTTCTTTTTTGCAAATGTTGCTATAGTCATTTGTTTAGTAAATATGAGAAATACTGACATCTAAATTAACAATCAAAAGTGATTAAACCAAACTTAACCAAGGTGAAATACATAATTGAATAGTTCAATAACTACTACAGAAATTGAATTCATAATTTTAAGGTTCCACAAAATGAAATCTTTAGACTTAGATGGTTTTACTGGGAAATTCTACTAAATATTTAAAGAAGAATTAACACCAATTTTACATAGCCTCTTTCAGGACATAGAAGAGAGAACAATTCCTAGGTTATTCTGTGAGTCTAGTATTGTCCTGATACCAAAACCAGGCAAAGATTGTATAAAAAAAAAAAAAAAGCTACAGACTGGTATTTCTTATGAATATAGGCTCAAAAATCAAAAATCCTCAACAAAATATTGACAATTGTATCCAACAGTGTATAAAATGAATACTGTATCATGACCAAGTGAGATTTATTCTAGATTGCAAAGCTGGTTCAACATTTGAAAAGCAGTCAGCTTAATCCACAGGCTAAAGAAGAAAAATTACATGAAGCTCAGAAAAAGTATGTAATACAGAAAAAGTATGTAATACCTATTCATGATAGAAATCATAACAAGTTAGAAATAAGGGGAATCACCTCAATTTGTTAAAAGGCATCTACAAAACACTTCAGCTAGCATCATGTGTAATAGTGAAAGACTGAATGTTTTCCTCGTTAGATCAGAAACAATGCAAGAATGTCCACTCTCACCACTCTTCTTCAATATGGTATAGAAATACTATACTGCAGTAAAGGAAAACAAGAAATAAAAGACATACATATTGTCTACTAAAATATCCCAAAGAATTTGCAATTTCTTCTGAAAAAAAAGAAGCAGAGAGAACATGTTCTAACTCATTCACTGAGCCCAGCATTATCCAAACACCAAAAGCAGACAAATGCATTACAAGAAAGGAAGACTACAGACGAATATCTCTTGTGACCACACATGCAAAAATCCCCAACAAAATAGCAAATTATATTAAAAAATGTATATAAAGAATTACATACTACAGTCAAGTGAGATTTATTGAAGATATGCAAGATTAGTTCAAAGTTCAAAAACAAATGAGTGTAGTCCAACGCATGAACAGTCTAAAGAAGAAAAATAATATTATCATTTCAATAGATGCAGAAAAAATATTTGACAAAATTCAACATCCTCTCATGATAAATACTCTCAGGAAACTAGAAATGGAGGAAATATTCTCATCTTGA